ACTCTGTTGGTTTTATGCTACTCGTTTCGCCTAGTTCTCCGTCACACACACACACACTGTTCCAATCTCCAGTGCGTTTCACTGCCCGAATGAGCATTCTTTTCACCCGTATTCGATGCCTTGCATTATTAACCGGTTTGTTTAGTACACATCCATCAAGTTACTCACTCACTCATTCATTCGATCGATCGATCGATTCATTGATTGATTATCAGATTGACTCACTGCTTGATGCCTGGTTATAATATATCCTGATTGAGCCCATTAAAACTACCCGGTACCAACACACGGATACCTGGAAATCCATAATTGGTTTTGTAAAGACTAGAGGTCTCCTTCACCCGGGGAAATGAACGGGGTGCCGTTGGAGACGTCTCTAAGGATCCAGGTGAAGTATATAAAAAAATGCTAAGAATANNAAAACATCATCTCCCCATATGCATGATCCGCAGGTTTTCTCTACGCTTCGATCGTTCATTGAAGATCCATGGAACAACCCCCATGTTTTGTATGAATCAGATTGGTTTATAATGAATGTCAAGAGAACCGCTTTATCATTCTCCGATCGTCAGTCAGTATTTACCGTTGAAAATGCCCATTTAGGAACACTCATACTCATGCAGTAATTAGTCCTTTAAAAGTGAAAACGGGCGTCTTCTGCAATTAAAATTTGCGATTTGCTTAGAGGAGGTGAGCAGTACGAAGCGTAATTCGTGTCTACGTATGTAGACATTGACAAACCGTCTAGTTCAGATAACCGTGCTCCGGCTAGTCGAGCTAAGTAATTCGCATGCATTCAAAATAAATTGAATCCGTTTACCTCACCTCATCTAAAATCCTCCCCCCTCTTTCCCTGCTTACCCTTTTTCCGCTCGCCCCCACTTTTTAAGCATGTCTTCATCAATCACATTTTCGCACTGTTACCAGGTGCCCATTGTTGACAGTTGTACCTGCTCATAATTCGCCGCGACTACCGCCGCCCAATTCATTTATTCGTACTTTTTATGGATGCACTCTCCATTCCATATTTTTGCATGTGCTCATGTGCGTTTGTCTGCGTGCCTGTGCGACCTGTTTGGGCTTTCATTTATCAAATTTACACAGCAGGTATCATGTGTCTGTTCTACAATATACTGGATCGTCTTTCGAGTTTCCCTATGTACATCATATGTTTTATTTGCATTACTTCTGTTGCCTTTCAATACCCCTCCCTTCGGGTTTCCCGACCTGTGCACCTCTTGGATCATTGATCCATCAGACCAAATAGCTCGAGCATCGCGGATGGTCTCAGCTCCGATCAACTGCAGGCAGTGGCGGCGGCTTGTCATCGGGCTCGTGGTCAAGGTCATCCAAGTCAACGTCAACCGAGTCAAGATCGACGCCACGTCGACGGTGCGCAAGCCACCCAATCAGCAATGTCACCCTCGGGGACAATTCGACCGGACAATACGACACGACCCCGTAGCGCACAGACTTCACCGACCCGTTCGAACAGTGGAAGCAAATCACGTTCACGCGAGCGGACTGGTACCGTGATAGGACGCAGTGGAACGATTGTTGGTACGACTGAGGTAGGTTCGGTTGAGACCCAGTCCGGGATTTGTATGGCCTCGGATCAGACTACCGTTTGTTGTCAACCTTTTCATCATATCGGGTCAGGAGGGAGGATATTTATGAAACCAAATACTTTTTGATTGACTCTCTGTCTACAGGTTGTGATGGTTGGGGCGTATGAGGTTGGATAAACGTAATATCATCATAATTTTAGCACTATTTTTTTATTTATCGAATATACATTCCGCCAGTCCGTTTTAAAGGAGATAGCAGCTTGGAAACATACAGAGGTGGTAAAATTGAACCACTGAGGTATTATTTGAGCACACAATGTTAACTACACCCTATACCACTCGACCACCATTACCATTCAGTACATATATGGTATTTGCTCGATTGGTTAGTGGTAGGGGGATGGTCAACAGTGGCCAGTCTACAACTGAATGTACACGTGTGGCAATTTCTACCAGTGAACTGTGCCATTTAAGTCAAACTAACCTTCCTAGTCAGCAAAATTAGGATCATCTTTATGGGCTTTATGATGCCTCCTTGTATGTGCCCGTGTAATTGAATTGATTGAATTTTTTGTGTGGTCAACAAACGCGTCTAGATTTCGCGAGTATGCTATAGAGAGCGAATTAATTTTTTGTGAAGAAAGATGCAATGTGATATGATTTGTTTATATAATGACAGGAGAAATCGTTACGGTGACAGAGAGGTAAACAAATTGTTTGGGAATCAACACGATTCCTGAAAAAGACACAATCAGGCGACCTAAATTGATCAACTGGACGACCAGTTCGGCTTCCCAGTTGAGTGCACAAACATTTTGATGCTTCCAAACTTGACTATCTCTAAAACTGTTGAACTGACAGTTGGTGGACACCGCCTTGCGTGAAAAAATCTCAAACACAGAAAGAATATCCGTAGTGGAAGTAGCTAACACCCTGAGTAAACAGGAAAGCCGTGAGTTCCGGGCAAAAATTGCAAGCACTTATTGTATGAACCAGTGTGCTGCACCCGTTCGATTTTTTGAAACGCGAATTCCAGCTGGCCTAATGCTCTGCTGCGCGGAAGCACTGATTTTGAAACTGGTCACATGCTCGACTGCGTATTTGAATAGCGGAAGGAATCCAACAGACAACAACGACAAACACGGAATGAATCTTACACATAGGTCCACATGAGAACAAAGTGGAAACGCATTTTCTCTCAGATCTTTATTTTGTCCGCGGCATTCATGTACTATTCCAGTAGGCATTGAGAGGCAGTTCGAGAACTTGATGAAGCACTTTGATGACCTCGTACCTGTATCAGAGACTTGTGTAGATAACTTGAAACGGTCATTGGCTCTTTATTGTCCGAAATTTCAGGAAAACGTGATATTTATGCGACAGCATAGTTCAGTTTCAGTTTATACAACCATTAACCACGCACATTCGGGCGCGGGTTTTGGTTGCTGTCTTCTGGCTGCCCATTTGGATGAAGAATAGGAGAAGACACGAAAGTTGGAAGTACAGTCGAACAGGAAAAGGAGAATTTCAGTGGTCTAAGATTGCAAAGAAATTGAGAAGATGCACGAACACCACTGTTTACGACCCTCAGCCATATCGCTCAGTGTCCCTAACCATTGGTTACGATCATCCTGAGGTCGCCATCCAGGTAGCCTAACAGGACCTATGTGACCCAGACTCCTGGTTAGGGTTTTCATGCCCTCGTGTCAGGTCCTAGCTTCACCACCCTTGGCTTTCTCCATCTACTACTTGCCTCGGCGAACATCGCTCGCCGCGGCAACCTATCTGGTGACATGCGTAAAACATGTCCCAACCAACGTAATCTATGGAGGTCGACCACTTGCTCCAGTGGGCGACCGTATTTACCCAAAACTCTGCGCCTAACCTCAGCATTTCTCCTCCAGCTATCCCACCAGATTCGTGCAATGTTGCGTAGACAGCGGTGTTCAAACCGACAGTCTGTCCTTATCCTGTTTTCAAGTTTCTGCATCGTATAGCAGGAATGACCGAACTGCCGCGGCATACGCTCGACCCTCCACAGACAGCCGCATGTCGCGACGGCTCCACAGATGTCTCAAGTTGGCAAATGCCAACCGAGCCTTCTGTAGGCGAACTGACACTTCATCCGTGATGCATCCACCGGGGGAGATGTAGCTGCCCAAAAAACAAAACTTCTCCACCTGTTCTATTACTTCTCCAGTAAGAGTGAGGCTAGTGCTGGACCAACCCAGTCTTGTAGTAGCATTTTACACTTTGAAGGTGCAAAACGCATACCGAACGTGGCTACACTGGCATTCAATTTATCCAGAAAAGCTTGCAACTTACCTGAATCTTCATTTAGTAACACAATGTCGTCTGCTTACTCTATACCGACCTGCCACCTGGAAGTAAATCGATGCCACTATCCTCGCACGAGGATAGGGCTGTTTCCATAATCAGATACATAACAAAGTTAAATAGAAAAGGAGAAACAGGGGGCAACCTTGACGAACACCACTTTCCGTGGTGAACTCGGGCAAAAAAGTGTCGTAAACTCGGACTCGACTTCGGCTATTAGTATAAAGCGATCGTAAAATTGAAATAACCTATCGGGCACACCTTTCAGGGAAAGGCAGCGCCAGAGTTTAGAGCAGTAGAAAATAAGTATGGGGAAAGAACTGTACCTTGGAGTACTCCAGAGTTGTTCAACAACGGTTTTGATTTCTTCCGACCTAACCTGGTACACAGTTCTCCCGGAGAAGTAATCGGCAAGCCAAGCTAATAACTGTCTAGGACAACCAAAGGTCTCCAGTTTATGAAGAAGAAGGG